GGGCAGGAAATGGTTGGGGGCTTTGGTGAGTAAGAGTCAGGTGCTGGGGTCTTTCGTAAGTAAGAGCTACGTGCTGGGGTCTTTTGTAAGCAAGAGCTACGTGCTGGGGTCTTTCGTAAGCAAGAGCTACGTGCTGGGGTTTGGTATGGGCTCCGGCCAGGTGTCTCCTTGCTTGACCAGTTCTTATAATTCTCTCTGGCTCAATCATTCACCCGCCTGGCCAGCCATGTTTCTGCCTAACATTCCAGCCTTTTTTTGATGATAAAGGGCGAAGTTATCATTCTGGCTGCTTCCTGCAGAACGGGATTGAAGTGGGGGTTAAAGGCTGGTGTTAGTGGGGATTGGGTTGGTTGGTAGGTGAGTGTACAGGAGTAGAAGTAGTTGGTTGACAGTAACTCTGGACATTTCTTTGAGCCAGTTTTGGAAGAATCTAAGGAGGCAAGGGGCGAAAAAAAAAAAAGAGACTTATTAGTACAAGAGGTCCTATAAGGGGTAATAACCAGGCTGTTAGTGGTGATTGGAGCCATTCAAATGGTGAGGTTCCCATTCGATGTCTATTACATAGTTCCTCACTCAGTTGAGTCAATGTATTGACATTTTGTTCCACCAGACCGGATTCGATGGTATAATAACAGCATTCTTCTTTAAGAAAGAGGCAGGTTCCAACTTTTTCTGCTGTTAAGAGGTCTAGGGCTCTTTGATTTTGTAAAGTAACTTGGGCTAAAGAGGTTAGTTGTCGCTGGAAGGAAGCTCTTGCGTCCACTGTAGGGTGACCCCTAATTTTAAAAGAAGGTATCTTCCTAAAAGTGGAGTGGGGCAGGTAGATATCACTAAAAATGAGTGTAATAATTCTGTTGTCTATAACAGAATGTGACAGGACCTGTTACCTGGGGTCTGGAGGGGCACCCGTCAATTCCCATCACTGAGACTGAGGAGGGGTATAATTGTTCCAGGAAGGAAGGTAAGACAGAATAGGTAGCCCCCGTATCAACCAAGAAGGATGTCAACTTACCTGCTACCTTGAGTGTTACCCTGGGCTCAGCGAGAGTGATTGGGGTTGACGAGTCGGGGCTCCTTCAGTATTCAGCTGCCAGACCAGAACAGTCAATGGAGGGTCAGGGATTGGAGGGACTGGCCCTCCATGTCTTGGCACTGAGGGACAGTCACTCTTCCAATGTCCCATTTGACCGCACACCGGACAAGGTCTGGAAGGTTGTCGTGGGTGTGGGCAACGGCTGGCCCAGTGGCCTTCCTCTCCGCAGGCGCCAGTTGGGAGGTTGCTTCTGGCTGGTAGAGTAGGTGCTGGCCTCAGGGCTGCCACTAAGGCTTGGGCTTGTAAATTAGCCTTCTGGCGAGTGCAGGATTCCCTATCTGCCTCAGCCGGTTCCTCCGGGTGTTAAAGATTTTAAAGGCCATATTCACCAGGTCTCAGATGG